TTTTTCAAGTCAGAAGGCAGAAAAATCCCTTAGGCTCAGCTTCTTCCTCTCCTCCCAGACTCACTTTCACCTCTGTTCTGACGCAAACATAACAGAACTTTGTCTGATGTCATAGGTGAGGTGTTTTCATCTTTACAATAAACAAATGATGTCACAAGCATGGGACTGTGATTTCACTGCAGGACCGGACAAGTGGGTATCTGATGCATAGAATGAAAGTTACTCTTCAAACATAAACAGCAGAAATAATTGCAAAAGCAAAGCAAATGATCAACCAAGTAAATTAATTCCTTTTTGAACCACTGGTCTCGTTATTCAAGTCCAAATGATTCTCCTTTCCTATTTAGGAAGCCCGAGGGGATGAGAAAGTGTCCAAGATGGTGACATTAAAAATTAGCTACTGAGCATGAAACATGCAATGATTGCACTTCATAACATTTTTATTGCCTCAGTGTTGCATGAATCACTTCACAGTTCCACACTGTTATGATGAAAAAAATGACACCAATAAAGTCTAAGCAATTGATGTTATGACTTTATCAATCTGAAACTAAAGGCATGCACGGAATGAAAAATATTTTCAAGAATAGTGAGAAAACTACCACCTCGTTCTGAAGAAGCACAAGTTTCATCTTTGTACTTTTCCGAAAAGTGGACATTCTCACACCAAAAGATGGAATATTGAGATAATCCTCAGCCCAGCTCCATGTGACACAACCTTACTTTCCCCTTCAGAAACAGTGCAAGTTTGGGTTTCTCAGGAGTTACAAATGCAGCTAACGCACAGTGAGGCTACAGCTGATATGGAACGTTCCCCGTTCAGAACATTCTCACTCCTCTGTGGTTTTGCACCAAGATGGTATCGTAACAATGACGTGCGCTTTGCTCTATTTTTTAAAGGTCTACAAATTCTGGAAGTGTGAAGCTGATTTATCTTTACAATTTCACTAAATCAAAAGAAAAAAAAAGTTAAATTTACTGCTACTTAAAACTTCCAAGAGGGCAATAATCTGTGCTTAAAACAACAAAGCAGCACCGCAGTAATCTATCAGATACAGCGTCAAAGGTACAGTGCAAAGAAGTGACCTCCCACAGGGGTATTGTACCTTCTTTCGACAGTCATGCTCAATAGCTAACCAAACGCAATCTTAAATTCCTCCCATTTACAGGTCAACTTTGACATGACTAAGTATTTTAGTCTGCTTGTATTGAAAAAAAACCCAACCAAACCTCCCATTTCTATAAACATCACTAAATCCAAACCATTTTGTAACAACAGAACCTAACAGGTTTTTTTCCTCTCTAACAAATACTAGCTTTCTTTTTTTAATTGAGTGTCTAGACAACTTGACTGAGGTATTACTATATCTGGTAGGATTCTTTCCTTTAATATAATAGGAATTTCATTTAAATTTATAATAGGAAGCTCATTTCCCTTATAAAATCATTAATAGAAAATAAAGCCCTTTTTGTTAACTCTAATCTTGCTTCCTTGCAAGTGTGCCAGAGGCACTTTAATATGGATCAGGTCATGAATATCACAAATTACAGCAGCAATGTGTGGCAACAAAGGATCAGATCATTTATGGAACAGTAACACCTTCTTCCTTCTTTGATAAAAAAAGCAGTAAACAGTATGCACTGATCTCTCAGGACAAAAAGTCAGTTCCTCTTAAATCTGTTTTTCTGATACTTACAAATCCAGGGTTACAGTATGAAGTAACGGCACAGCACAAACCTTAGAATGATGAATGAGTGGTATTACAGGGTATAATAAAACCTACTTCATCTTACGTCAAAACTCTCTCGTTTCACATGATGTACAGGTATGAAGTTACGCCAGAGTAGGAAGAAGTTAGTAGGTGCTATTTTGGATAAAGTTTCCTGTGGTAGATTCATGGCAGATGCATTATGCACAAAGCAAAACTACGTATGGGCAGGCACAATTACGGAAGAATTAATGTACCAACAAGAACAGCATTGGCCATAAATGCAGTATAACACAGTGAAATGCAATTCACACTTAATTCATCAATCAGTACTTCAATGCAGAAAAGCACACCCCATTAAAGTTTGTATTTTTCCTTGGGTCATGCTGGAATGCACCACAACCATAGCCTATTCCCCTACTCGAAACACACGCAGTAGGAAAGACTTGTATGGGCTTCATATGGGTTCACAGGGAGGGACAAGAGTAAAGACCAAATATAAGTGCAAAGATGTTACCCATACACACATCCATTACAGAGCCCTCCGCACATTGCCTTACAACCAGAGAGTGCAAAACTGGCTTACTATTCACAACAAACTTATTTCCAGAAATCCAAAGATTTAGTTCAAGTTATAATAAAATACAGAGGTACGTTACCTTTGATACGTGCCATTGCCTTACCGTAACTCCACAAAGCTCCTGGTGATGCTCACGTTAAATGCCAGTTGCCCAGTCCAAAGCACACAGTATCAGTCCCCCACAATGCTACGCTTCAAAGGGAAGTGCACCTTTTTGTGCCACCCAAATACTCCCGTTGAACTCCACCAAAAACTGTCTGTGGGACGTGGGCTGATAGAAACTTCAGGAAGAAATTAATGAAGACTTCCAAGATGCCTTCCCCAAAGAGAAAACTGAAATTCTTCAGCGATACACAGCATTAACATCTGATGGGACAAGTCTGCCAAGCAGAAGCCTTAGAAAGATGATGCTGGTTTTGCAGAAAGATTTAGAATCTCTGATTTTTGAGGCCAGGCTGGAGTCCTACCTCTAATTAAATTCTAATCTGCTTTTCACAGGTTTCATAAAATGCTGTCTCAAATAGGCTTATCTTCTAAGAAGTGCAGCATGATCTTCTCATTAAAGAACGTTACAATGAAAACACATTAGTACTAAAGCCACAAAAGACTGAGGAAATTACGGACATTTTCCCCCAAACTAGTGGATTGCTCTAATATCACTTTAAAAATAACTGTACATTCACAAGTCTGCTTGAAAAGTGGAAATTTGCTGTTTAAGTGTTTCTTCAATGTTATCTCTATTTTGTTCTTTAATTAATAAAAGGATACATGCACTGACATTATAAACACTAATTTGCTATTTAGCATCCTAAATTAGGAAGCATAAACATTTATGCACTTCATTAAACACTACCTAAGAACACTTTGAGATTAACAGGAGACAAGCTCGGCTGTTAAATGCAATTTCAGAGTATGCGTAAGCCACCACAGAAAGACACTTCTCCTCTTCCTGTCCCTCGCTAGCAATGCTCCCTGGCTCTGTCCTGTTGCCGCCAGCCCTTACAAAATGAACCCTGGAAATCGGTGACACCCAACACATCCACGCGATCACAAGTGCCAGTTTAAGGGAAGGGATGGGAACGCAGGGACACCAGCAGCTGAAGTGGGGCGTACTCTTACGGCAGCACGGCATGCTTAGATTGGCACGAGCCAGTCATGAAATCGCGCTTTAGAAAGCACAAACCAAATACTTATACCCTGGGGTTGGACTAGATGACCTCTAGGGGTCCCTTCCAACCCAAAACATTCTATGATTCTATGAATAAAGACCTCATTTAAGCACATGTGGTGTACAGGAAGAGACAAAGCGGTGTTTTTCTCCATCCCTTTGAAACAGGCACTGCAGTTCTAGCACGCCTCCTCCTCTTCTCCCTTCCCCTCTTCCCTCCACCCACCCCAGCCCTTTAGAGAATCCTTGCATTGCTCCTTTCAAATTACCTGCACGTACAGGACACTGAAATAGGTTTAACGTTAGGATATACCAGCGCTACAGGAAGATGACAAGAAATGCTAAGTCTTTCAAAACTACAGGAAGCAGAATTTCTGCGGCAGAAAAGGAGCAAACGATGCCGATACTCAGGAATAGACAGCTGGAAAGGCAGATCATCACATCTGTGCGCGTAACACAAATGGAAGGTTTACTAAGATCACTAATATAACAAATCCTCAAAATTGATCAGCACAGGGCCCAAGTTATCTCTACAAACCTTATTCTCAAAAACCTTCATAAAACAAGACTTCAGGATATTTTCTTTCACTTACAGACAATAAGGTGTAATTCAGACAACGAATTATTCCTTATAACTTTGCATCGCAAGTCCAACTTCAGTGTAGAAAATTATTTTTAATTTCAATTTGTTCTAAAAGTGTCCACTGTTAAATTACAGACTCAGAGGAAATGGTACTAAATTTTCTTTTGTATGTAATCTTGCCATAGCGTGGCAATCTTTAAATCATTTCAAAATACAAATACACTAAAAATAGTGTTTCAAGAGGAGTAATATGGACACATGGAACTTTTACCATACTCAGAAATCTGAAAAGTGCCTTGGTGCCTGAAAAAGAATTTTAGATTTTTGTTTGTTTTTTAAATAAGTTACCATGATTTTACAACTTACAGCTTTGGGTTCTCTGTTGTTTGTGGGTTTTAAACTATGACAGCAATGGTGATCTAACTACAAGACAATAAGTGAAAAAGAAGCGTTCTTTGTGTGTTTTTGACCAAATATATTGTTAGAGATCAAAACAAAGATTTATAAAAACAAACGATTAAAATTTCAGTTCAGAAAAACACTTTGTAAAATACAATAAACCCCTTTTCAATAGCAAAGTGGATTTTGTACAGTTCTTCCTTCTAAGCAGGTGTTTACTGCACCTAGATCCACTAACTCCAGTAAAACAAAGGGTAGGCAAAATGGGTTGGTGTTCTCAGAATTACAACCTATATACAGAACTGCAGGTCACATACTGCAACTCATTGGAAAAACCTTTGAAGATTCACTGTTCCATTGTGAGTGGACTTACAATATATCTTACATTATTTAAAAGCAGGTTACACCATTGAAAGGCTTTTGACAGAACCGCTCAAAAAACGAATCAGTTATAGAAAGAGAGTAACGCTTCAAGTCAGCTTCTCCCATCAGCAAAAATGTCACACAAATCAAAAAACAACACTTAAGTAAAACACTAAGACTTTATTAAAAATCCAAAATTTATTGCAAGTTGTACTTTGCACTTTCCCTCCTTTCTTCATTTTTACATGATTTATTGATATCCATGATTTTTTCACAGATGTACTTGTTGACTTTGGAGAGTCTCTGTGCAATTTCAGTTTCATCCACAGTTTCTTGTGCTATTCTATCATACAAACATTCTGGGGAGAAAAAAAAAAAAAAGGAAAAGAGCCATTAGGATATTTTTAGAAAAGAATATAGCCCTGTGTTGGGCTAACTACTCAAGAGACAGCCCTGAGTAAGCAGCGTGTATATTTGTTGCAAGACAACAGAAGCTTTCATTGATTCACTGGCTATCTTGTTAAAGACAAGATTTTTCACCAGGCTTGAACCTTTGGCATGACCAACTTCCAGTTATGCTGTGACTGCATTATGAGGCTTTCTATACAGAAACAAGGCTAAATCCAACCTTTTACAGCATCAGTTTTGCCTGCCTAACTCTTGTATTTGTCCATGTGTCCACAGCAGATTTAGAATCTTCTCCCAGCTGAATGGTCTCACTGGAACTGTTGTTATCTACAGTTCCCTGTGAGTCACTCCTACCTTCACACCTTCAAGATAGTAAGTAAATGACAATGGTTAGGAAGAGAAGCAGTAACCAGTAGGAGAAGACATGAACCAATTTATTTTATTTTTTAAATCTGTACAACATACATTAATGTTTGCATCTTTATCAGATGCCCTGTCTCTGGGTGTATTTTGTTTTATTAGTAGATTATTCAGGGTGAGAGCCATCTTCTTGCATGTTTGCACAATGCAGTTTGTGAACTTAACTGGAATACAAAAAGCAAGCAATAGCAATAACTGCAAACGCAATGAGGGCAATGAAAGTTGAGACAATTCTGCTCCACAGAGTCAGGAGTCTGGTGCCAGAATCCTGCAGAGGTTACTGCAATCAGAGGTGTTGCAAACACACCCAACTCCTTTGAGACAGGCAGGTTTGGGGTTTTTTTGTTTTCATAACCAGAACAATGTATTTTGCTGCACAGGCTTCCCAGATTGATTAAACAATCTCTGTTCTGCTTTGCCTAGTAATCTATTCCAGTAGCCATTTATTGCTTAATATACAAAAGCCATAGAGATTATCGCTTAATTAACATGGTTTATAACATTTCTAATGCGTCATATTAACAAGTTATGAAAATTAAGTACTATGCATGCTTTGTAGTTCATTTTGAAACCTCTCAGAAGTTTTACAAAAGGTTATTTTGCATTAACAAGGTTTATAACAGTGCACATGCATCATACTTTTTATAATTTCTTTATTACATACTACACAGTAGGGATTTTTAAGACATATTAAGACCTAACGCTGTCATTCAAAAATCTATTTGAAATAAGTTAGTCTGTGTCCACAGAATGATGAGAACATCTGAAACAATGTGAATTTTATGTTGTAAGATGTACTGAATATAAAATAAATAAAAATCAGCATGCAGCCCCATAGCTGAAATGCTGATAATCAGTAAACTATGATTTGAAATACAGCACCTAGGAGGCACATCACTGAGAACCTGAAGAAACCCAGTGTGTTTGTAGGACATAAACTTGTACTACAACAGTCTCAGGAATACTCCCAGGTTGCAAGCAGATACACCTAGTAAGGCGAACTTCCAGTAAAAGACAGGCTATGTTATTAGTTTAGCCACAACGTCAAGCAAAGAATCACTTGACAGAACTCATGCATCAGCTGTGATTCTTAAAGTCAGCGTGACCTAGACAGACCCACGATCATCACAGTTTTTCCATTTCCATCTCTTCCATTTCTATGAGGGGCTGCAGAGATAGTAGTTTAGTAGTCACATAACAAAGAGTGATTTGGGGGTTCTGCTTGTTCTTTGCCTTTTGACTCAACCAAAGATTCAAGTAGATCTATCTCAAAGATTAACAAGGAGCTCTACTTCTTTCTGTGATGTCTGATCCAAGTCACTGGCCACGTAAACTCTAACTTCCTCGCATTTCACCATTTGTCCACTTGCTACTCATTTTTTTGTTTTGTTTTCTTCTCCATAATGTAATAACAACTTCTTATTTGATCACTTCCAGCTTTCCAGGAAACACTGCTGGCCTGCTAACATTGATGCAAATGCAAGTGACACAACAATGTGGAAAATCATGGTTATGTGCTACCCAGTACTGCTGACATAGGAAGTCTGTCTGCTGCCACCCAGAACACTGGCCATGCAGTTTAACTGGTTCAAGAAGAGATTGTACAGTCTTATGCCTAATGAAAAGAGAGTCAAAGACAAGGTGAAATAAACACTGGAAAGAGGAACACCAGGGCGTGGAACAGTAGAATTCAAATGAGGGTTGAGGCTGCAAGCAAAAGTATAACAGAAAACACAGAAAAACAAGGAAATAGGGAAGAGCTGAATTGCTGGAGAGTGTAAAGGTATGGAAGAGAAGAAAGGGAAGGGCCCCATCTGCCTTTCACCGTGTACCTGTTGGAGCATAGTCCCAAACTCACTGTAGTCAAACAAGGGGAGTTAGAAGAAAGCTGTGATTTAAAGGGCTCAAGCAACACAGACTGGCCCTGACTGAAGTAGAGGAAGAAATTCTCACATAAGAAACCTTGCCAGCAGTGCTAAGGAGCAACAGTCTCCAGCAGGGAAACTAGAAAGCTCTTTGCAATGGGCCAGTGAACAATAACCCCTTTTTACTGCATGTTTCTAAGTGTGCATCTGGGTAACCAATTCTTTTTCTCATTAGGAGCTGACAAGGGTAGCCACAGCCACAGAGTGGATTACTTACGTGGCCAGTACATCATTACTTTGCTACCTGTGTTAGGATTGTACCAAAAGGTCCCAGCCAGAACTAGCAAATCAGTATGGAACAGCTTGCACTTCCACAAATATTCTGAAAGCAGATTAGTAAAAAAAAACCCCATGTCTTTTACTCATTTCTTGCAAACTAAGAAAGATGACAGTACGAAGATCAGTTTCCAACTTTTCCCCACACAACACAGACACACGCACACACGCAAAGAGGAATCGTACTTCTTCGTTCCAAAACATGGTACTTGCAATGCGATTACAACAGCTCTTAAAGAGTTCATAGTTAAGAGCACATAGCAACTAAGAACAGGAAATGCAGAATAATGAAGCTCAATCAAACAGGGAGATTTCTTTCAGCCCTACTGCAATTTAGTATGGACACAAAACCTAAAAATCCAATTTTGGTATGTATTCCACGAGGAACTGACTCAGTTCTGACTTAAAAAGAAGCCTGAAATACCAAGAGAGACAGAAATGAATGCAAAACACAAGCATGATGATACAAAGGGACTGAAATTCACTATTAATTTTAAATAAAGGAGAAAGCTTTCTCACTCTCAAAGTACTAAACACATGGACTCAGGCTTGCAGTTACTGAAAGTGTCATTGTAATTTTCCCTGCCAGCGATTTACACTTCCTGTTCAAATTCCAATTCAAGTGTAACAATTAATTTTTACTATTTCCATTTTCTCCATTTAAAAGGGTAAAACTATTCTTTCTCGCCTTTGAAGGTATGCTTATTTTTATAGTCACAGCTATAATGGTTTCTGTGCCTCATGCCAGAGTTGGTTACGTTCTGGATGAAAGAATGTGGTAAAGCTACTCTCAGGCTTGTTAAAAGGAATATATGCATTTTAAAAAATCACTATGTTATGAATTAATTCCAGAACAACGTGTTGTTCTCCCATGCTCAGTCCTGTCCTGCAAGTGGTTCAAAGTGATGATCTTCTTGAACCTTACTGATGTACAACTCTTCAGCTGTGAAGGCCTGCACTGTGCACAGCTATTGCAATGTGGTATACTTTTTCCTGGATATGTATGCACTTCACAATGCAATAGCAATTTGAATTACAGTTTTTAATCAGTTAATTTTAGATGAGCTGAAAAGAAGCATCTTTCAACTCAATGATTAATAGTTAAACTCCAAAGCAGGAAGCAAAAGTTTTCAAATAACCTACCTCTGACAATGCTTAATTTGTGAGGTGAGAGAGGTGGCTTGGGAACGGCATCTTTCTTTTTTTTGGTTGCAACTCCTGTGACACTTCTGTTCTTGAGAACATCTGTTCCCCAAATCATAACCGCTAGATTTTTTGTATACTTTGAATCTCCTTGTGTTACTTGCAGCTGGTGCCATTTCTCCTCATCTACCCAAATTCCACTGCCAAGATGGACCTAGAAGGTAGTAATAATAACAACTTATCTATGGTATGTAGCACACAACAGTATCCAAGTGCTGTAGGAACATTAATATTAGGTACTATAATAACAGTAATTAGGGCTGAACAAATCCATTTTGCCTAATTCTGAAACTTCTCCAGCTTTGTGGGTCAGGGAGTTCAAGTCAACCTCTTATATAATATAGTTCCTCTTCCTTTTTGTATTCAATTCTTCTTACTCTCTACTTTTCCCCCCCACATAGCCTATCTCCTGAAAGACTATAGTCAGGAACAGAGACAGAAGGAAACAGTAAACACATCCAGTATTATAAAGGTATGCACAGCATATAAACCAAGCAGTTGCACCAGCCTAATTCAGGAGCAAGATGAAACATTATCTTTAATATGAAAGGTTCCCCTTGGCTGAAACAGGCTTTACCCAAAGCGTATTTTGGAGGCAGTAGAGAGGGAAATACTTAAGTCATACCCTGTACCTGTTGGCAAAATTCAGCCTGATTGTTTAAAGTAACTAGAAGGGGAGAAGGGATTTTGAGAGCTCCAATTTCAATATAAGCCAAGAGAGTTTAGAAGCTTTGTAAAACTTCCAAATCTGTCAGAAGTTTGCCTATCGTGTACAATCAATCTATCCAGGTCAACACTGGTTTGTGGTAAGGTAATGACCCATTGCTGCAACATCATAAACTTTGCACTATCCAGACAATGGGGAGCAGAGGTATTTTACTGGAAGTAGTAAAGCAGGGTATGGGTACTGGGAAATGCAGTATGAAGCCATTACAGTCCTCAAAAGGAAGCTGCTCAAGTCGAGTTGTTCTTATTAGCCTTGCTAGCATTGACTATGCTGGGTTGATTCCCACAGAGCTACACCATATCTCTACCCCAAGATTCCCAGTGCTCCAGGCTTAAGACAAATACAGGACGAGTATCTGAGTACCATCCTTAAGCTGGTACTACTTATGTCTGAGCTGACAGTCCTCCTGATAACCAGGACACCTTCAGGCAACAGCAAGGAAAATAATTCCACTAGTAATCAGCACAGGTCTGACGTGAGTGCAACCACTGAGCCCAACTGGACGCAAACGCTGGCCCTGTGCAGAACCATGGAGAATACTTTGTACCATGTATGTCCATGCTCCTAATTCCTGGAGTACAGTGCAGACACCTGAACTACCTCTGCATGCAGAAAGCTTTGTTCACATGGTGATGAACTTCATCATCAGTTGGACCCACGCTTGGTCATCAACCATGACAAGCTAATGCATGACCTAGCTATTCTAATTACTGATAAGAGTTCACTGCACTGGAAAGGAAGAAGATAGAACTTACTTTCAGGTAATTCTGTGCAAGTGCAAAATACCAAAAATATGTATCAATTGCATTGTTATATCCACAATTCAGGTTTCATAGAATCTGATCAAATGGAGGTTCTTTCTGTAACACTAGTACTTCAATAAAAACTTACTGCCTCCTCATGATTAAAGAAACACCTGTGAACAAAATTCTATAGCAAAACTGTATTAGGAGATTCTGTTTGCCTTAACCATTTTGCTCTTAAGTTTTTCATGTTTTTACTCCTTTCATGTAGCAATACATAAACTGTGCCTGCTACCCATACAGATCTGAACAGTATCACATAAGTCCCATTAATTGGAATGAAAATTGGACAAAGCTACTGTAAAATTTTATATACCCATAATTTTACTGCCTGTATTAAACCAAATACCATTTTTCCTTTAAATGGAAACCTGCTTTAATTATTAATGAGGGCTATAACCCAAAGAAATTTTTTATTACAATAGCACCCTTCAAAAGCAACTAGTTGTTTAAAAACTTAAATAGAAAAATATGAATGGTTTGGCTACCAGCTACCTTATAAAAAACAAATGAAAATCTAACTTCCTCAAAGTATACAACCATAAAGCAAGCTGCCTTCTGCAGAATTTTCTACACTAAAGGGATTCTAAAAAGCTTTTCACAAGTCGACAGGGTATTTAGATTTCGTAATGGACAGAAATGAAACTAGTAATAAGCACAACATGAACACCCCTTTTTTCCTTCCTTCTCTGTTGTCGAGCCTCTTCATAACTGCTTTAAAAAAGTCACACTCTTTTGGTGCTCTCTACATATTTTGTAAGACAAGCTCAATCAGAGTGAGCAGTCTGTGCTCAGAAAAAAAATCACGTTAGTTATAAATCAGTTATTTCCATTTTGATGTTGGAAAAGTTATCTGTAAAAATGAGTATAAGTTACTTAGAAAATAACTGAGATTAGGATGTTGTGACGTGCCTAATTTTGGATGTCTGTATTATATTAGCTGTAGAGACTGCAGTATTTGATCAAAAATCCGATTCCCCTCTGCCAAAATTAGGGTTTGCCTTTGCTAAAGATTGAGTAGTCTCGTAAGCTACTACATTATTCATTAGCTTTAAGTTATTTAAAAGAAAACAACAAGTTACAGCAAATATTTTTAATATTTATGTTTCAGACCATCTCTTCTTTGAACATGCTTCATTTATTACAAAAAGTTATCACTGGTATGAAACACCTATGGTAACAGCAACTACGTGACAGACAGCCACAGACAGAAATCTTATGTCTCCCTTTTTCTATTTCTAGCACTGTTACAGCCAAGGAATTTAATCTGTCCATGTCTCAGTTTACCTCTCTGTAAAACAGGCTCGGTACTGTTTCCTACTACTCCCAAAGCTACGGGAACGTTACTGTACTCCAGATTCAGAAGCCATTTCCTTCTTGCTGGAAGAGCTGCCCGATGGGCCAGACCCTTGGCTTAATGAAATCAACAGGAACTTTACCCCCAATTTTAGCAACTGCAGGATCAACCTTCAAGCACAAGGCAACAGAAACAACAGCAAATTCAAAGCAATGCTCACCACCGTAACCGTGCTAAGATGTGCAATGTATCTAAAATGTATCTCAGAAGATTAACTCTTTTTTTTTTTTTCCTTCTTTTCTTTTCTTTAAATGAATGCCATAGGCTCTTTTTCAGTAACTGTTCTACTGTTCTCCCTCTGGAGGGGAGAGATTTATCTGCTTTGAAAGAATTCTACTAAGATCAAATCCGACGCCACAAAGGGCAAGATTTCTAAAAAAGTATTTCAGCTACTCTAGTGGTGCATGTCAATAAAGAAGTAATGAAAAAAAGGCATAAATAAGGAAAACTGAAAAAACACCCTCCAACACTCTAAATACATTACTAGTTCACATTTCTGGCATCTGAGCTGGCTAAAGCCCCAATAAATAGGCAAACTTAAAGAGAGACCAACATTACAAAAGGAAAGTTAAAGAGGTATTAATATCCATAAGGATGGAGAAAACTTCAGCAACAGAAGTGCCAAGAAGCTGGCAGATGAAATAAAGGTGCAGGAAAAGCTGCATACAAATACTAAAGGACGCACCCTACCCCACAGATCTTAAGCAGAGAAAAAGGAGGTAAACCAAACTCTCACAGTAGTATATGTTAAGTTTTCCTTGCAAATATACACAAAATATACAAGCAAATGACATATGTTAAATATATTAGGCAAGAAAAGCTATCTGAACCAAATACCTGTCAAACTGTCAAGATTATACTATTTTTCACATACATTTTGTCTTCAATAATTATGTTGAATTCATCTTCAAGAATGACAGACACTTGTGCAGTCAATCTTGTAACACAGATCTGAAAATGTAACATTTCATGCTATTCCACCAGTAATTCCAGCATATGCCAAAGCTGACATGGACGTTTCCTCCTAAAAAGTTCTCAGATTACGGTACCGAATGGACACATATCCTAAGAAACAGGATCTGCACAGGCAGTTCTGAAGGACGTATAGTTTTGTGAAAGAACTAGTGTTCATTTAATGATAATGGCAACAGCTATAAAAGCAGGCCTTGGTAGATGAGCGGACAATGTGTTAAACACGCTGAAGTCTGAAAATCTATCAGTCAGCTTTCTGGCAAACTTTAGTGAGATGGTATTTCACCAACTTTATAAAAAGTATCTGCAAAGTAGCACTACATCAGCTCAATTCAGTGGCAACACTCCTACTAGATTCAAGGGAGCCCATTTTCATTCCAGGGTTCATAATTATCTACTGGACTCCAATGCAAAACATGAAGGCTTCTCTGCCATAGGACTACAGCACACTAAAAATTTTAAAGACCTTTTTTTTTAAAGACCTTTTAGGAAAAAGTATTTCTGTTAAATAGACTAATGTAACTTTATAACATGGGTTACTGACTCTGGTCTGTATTTGGTGGATTTATGTATGTCACCAATCGAAGACTAAGCTAATGTGCTTGTGCATGCATATTTAATAATTATATTCCTTCTGTTACATAGCATTCAATGCTTTAATCACAGCTTTTCTACACTGTTCATATTTGTGTAATTTCATAATTTTCCTCAGCATAACAGCATGCCTTTATAAAAACTGAGGAAGTTTGTATAAGCTGCTACCATGCAAAATGGCCGATATCGTGAAAATTCCACAAGAAAATCACCAGCTGGACATTTACAAACTATTCATGCTATATTTAATTTGAAATACCTTTCCATTCTCGAGAATATACTTGTCCATTACTGGAACAGGGGCAGGGTAGTACGTTGATGTATTTGCTTCCTCACTGAAGGTCTTCTGTACCTCAGGTTCAGGCTCAATTGATTCTGGTTTTACTTTTTCAAGCTCAATGGCAGGTCCTAGACAGTTAAGAAAAGAGAGCTGTCTGCTATCCCAGAGAACATGAAATCAATCACTTCATCACCCATGGTTAGCATAAAATAACATATTAGTCATGTTCATTTCAAAGCTAGAAAGATTCTAAACCAAAATCCTACTTCTGAACGTCAATAAATAAAAGCAGGATAAGTAACTCTGCTTTAAAAATATTAAAATGTTTAATTTTAATTTAAATGTTTATTTTTATTCTTAAAGCATATGGACAATTACAGATACGGGTAAGATTGCTTCAACGCACACTATTGAAATTATGTTAAAATGACACTGAAATTATAAACCAAAAGCAACAACAGTAATTCATCAAATAAGAATTACTATATAGTTGCATAGAAACCTGCACAATTTACTGTGATAATTATAGAAGTTATCCATACAGAATTACAAATTTTATAGAAATTTGAAATCTCTTTAGAGATAACAGAGGTGTATTAAAAATAGTGAGGATCTACAGAAATGCTATAGAGGAGACAGACTTAGGCTACTTATGCTAAAGTATCATGCATAGAAAGAGGATCCAAGTTTAAAAAAATCCACATAAATTAGAATTTTGATTGTCCAATCCATCCAACACACTGATTTTTATTTTTAATGCAATCGACAAAAATTAAGCACAGATTAAATAACACAATAGTACTAAGCATATGTTTGAGGCATCAAAGGAAAACGATTATTTTGTCAATCATCAACTTTTCTTTTCCAGATCAAACTTATGAAGTGTTCCTAAAAAGGCAGAAGAACAAAATAAAATAATTTGTGAACTGGATTTCATTATTCCATTCATTGAAGAGGTTAGACCAGAAGTCTAGGAATGGGCTACAGCCCCAAGTCTATCATCGTCTCTTGATGTCTGTCTCTGGGCTCACAAGAAGCTCCAGCAGTCACTGAAGTTCCACGCAGGGATGGTGGTTCATTAACACAGCAAAGTTGCCAGCTTGGGCCCTGGACACCACTTCCAAGAACTACAAGGATAAACTCACCCACTTGTAAGAACTACATTGTACCAGGCTGGTGCTGAGAGCACTGCAGCACTCTGTAGCCCAACCTTGACATCTTTAACAAACAACAATTCCATAATAAAGTCACCGTCATGGTTCAGGATCCCTCCTTGGTGTTTGTACACATAGACCAAGCCCTGAATTGATCTAACTCTGTGAGTCAAGCTGGCACCAGAACTCCTGCCTAGAGTCACGTATCTTAAATAGTTTCTGTACCTGGAACAAGTGAAGTATTCATTCCTCCTACTTTGCACAGTTTAATTTACAGATTATTGTACAATGATATCAGCATTTCCTCCATTGTCAGCATTTGACATTTATCCTATAGCTTATTCTACACCTACATAGCTAGCTAAATGTTCTCAGCTGACTGCCACTTGACACTCAGCAATAACTAAAAGTTGTCGTGGCAACCCTATACTGCAGTGCCTCCAAGAGAGTGTCTTAAGGGCCATCCGCAACGCATACATGGCACATTCAAGAATCACAAAAAACATACCATTTACAGTGTGATTTCATAGTAATCCTAATCAGCACCTCTACTATCACGTATGTAAAATCGTACGAACAAGACTAAACTTTTTATACTTAAGACTGCTAAGCTGGTTCAGGTTGGGGGAAAGACCTGGATTGATTAAACCACCCAAAGCCTGCACACTTCCCAATGTGGGCAGCCCTGAACAAGCAGATGCAGTAACATAACTGCCAGTGTGAATTTAAAAAGTGATCTTTTAGCTGCTACACCAAGAACGCACTCTTCAACGAAGTGCTATTTTGAGTTTTCTTACACTTCGAAAGTCACTTTGAGGAAGACCCCAAAGTACAACCACCTCCCTCCTAGAAGGAAATGCTTATCTCAGTTTAAACACTTTTGCTAGTTGCTATTGAGAAGTCTTTTACTGTTTTGTTTATAGTCTTATATTGACACAGCTGGTATTTGGTTTCCAGAGTTCCCCAACACAAAAGGCTGATTAAAGTCCACAATTAACCATAGCTCTAACAGGTCAGAAAAATGTCTATTGCAATTCTTGCTTTACTGCTTGCTTAGCAGTCACCAACAGAAAGGCTTTAAACCGTCATCTTTTATACTCTACTTGTTTTTATTTCCCAAACAGCAATCTGCCTCTAACTAGGCAGTCTTCATAGCTACTTTCACCAACTACTACAGACTGCGTTTTCAACCCAGCGTGTTGTGGATTAGACATACAGCCCACATTATTGCCTTATTGCTAATGGGAGTTGTGTGCCACGTGCCATACTCTAAATTTTCCTCTCTCTGTAGCTCTCATGCTCTGCATCTTATTTTAAAGATGATGAATGGGATATAGAAAACTATATGCCACTATCTAAAGGCTTAATTAACAATATTACTTCTGTTATAAGGGTAATAAAAAAGTAAAGACAATTCTTCAGAATGCAAAAAGGAAACAAATGTTTTATTGCAAAAATCTTTTCTGACTGTAAAGTTTCCATGCCTGGGAGGCCAGCAACTTCCAATGCAGGATGAAAAGGTAGAAGGCTTCCCTTCATCCCCTCTCTTCCTTCAAAAACGCATCTTAGCCTACACACTACTCAAAAAATTAGTAAACAAGCCAAAACAAATGAACTGATTAAAGTGGTCAATACACGTTTGTAAGCAGTAAGCTGGTTTTTCACATGGTCTACCAGAATTTGAATGAAAACAACAGGAGACTGAGAAGGGGAAATATTATAAAATGGTACTTCCCATACTTGTACTTGATAGAAACCTTGGAGTTTGGGGAGGTTTTTTGTTTTTTGGTTTGTTTTTTCTTTTTTTACATCAAAAAGCCACACAAATCTCAAGAAGCTGAATAACAGTAACTCCTTATATGTGGTAAGACACAAATAGCATTTCATTCTCCCTATCCTGGTGTCAGTCCCAAGATACTGAAACTGGATCACCAAAATTAAACTGGGATTAAAAAAAAAAAAAAAAAAACCAAACACCTGGGGCACTGTGTGTGTGTTGATGAATGAACTTGAATGAATGAAAGTGAATATACTTCCCTGACTTTAGAGCAACATAAATTGTTAGCAATGCAACATGAAAATGCAGTTATTTATCAGGGAGTGAACAACGCCCAAACATTGTCCCTGATACAACATCACTACTTCTGGCCATACACAACCATGGTAAACTGCACCGATCTTACCCTGGAGACAACTTATTTTTTTTTAAAAAAAGTTATTGAAATTCTTATTCTTTGCAATCCAAGGACTATTTAAATTTAGGCCTACAGGGAAGAGTCAGTGATTTAATTCTTTAAATCACCTCATTCTCTATTGATAAAAGCAGGGAAAATTAATGTTTTCAGGTGCAACAGAACAAAGACAAACTGCAAAGGCCTACGATCACAGGGCTTCCTGACACCAAAGCAGACAAGGGAAAAGAGGCTTTGGCTGCACACATTCTTCAGGGAGCTCAGGCAAGGGATGCCGTAACCTCTTCCACGACAGTCATTGTGTTTCCCCCACTGCTTTGGTCCCTAGAGCCCTGGTCAAACGCCTGCCTCCTCCAGGAAGGGATCTTTGGGCAACAGCCTATCAAAATCATAAAGACGCTTCAATACATCCCCATGGATCAGTACCGATTTCGCTACTGTCATTCGCCACGTCTGCTTTCAAGGCTCTTTTAAAACAAAGAGCAATTCAGTGTCACCATGTGGAAGATTAAGAACCTCACTCTTCCCACAAGAGGGGCTCAAGTTTAGTAGCAGAGATGAAGGCCTAGGTCTAAAGAAGAATACATTGACTTTAGCTTCTCACCAAAATCAACATATTGATGGTAAATTAGGAGACTGAATACTTGACTGAATGTTAGCTCAAGAGGCTGTTCTATATTTGATCTGCAAGTTTTAAATGGCAACAGGCACGCGTTTCCCACAGCTGCAATTCATCAGCACAAAACAGCTGTCATCTCATGCAAAGAAATCAGAAGTCTCTAAGGTGAAACAGAAATGCAATTAGTTTGCATTAAGTCCAGCCTGGTAGAAGTGCAGCGGAACATAAATTACATGTAATTTGAAACTCTAGGTTTAAGAGATCGCTGCAACAACTGAAGATGAGTTCAGGGTGTAACCTATTTTCTGAACAATTTTCACAGATTATTCACATACCCAAACACACCTCATTTATAAGCTGGAAAAGTAAGGAGGACTAAAGAAGTCTCTACATACCTGTTTCTTGATTAAAAGTAGCACTTTTTCACACTGTCATCAGACTCCCTAATTTATAATTTGCTGAAGATGTCTCCCTTTCTATTAATTGATAAATTTTGTACTGATCTTTCTAGAATCTGGTTGTTCCTATACTGTGAATGAGGCTACAAGGAAAGGCAGAAGTTATCAGCAGTTAATACACTGAGTCTTAGGAAAGACACACCCTGTGAAGGACACAGCCTACAGGGCCAAATTCTACCTTTGTCATCCATGAAAAGTTCCATGCAAGTAATAACAACACGTGATTTTTTTTAGAAGTTACCTAAAATTCGTATTTGTCCAGGTATGTGATTAAATTAAAAGAACTTGTCTTCAATGTAATCGAGATTTATTTCCAGTTGTAAAGCAGGTGCCAGACTGATACAATGGAAGTTCAAGCCCAGTATTTAGAGAAGAGTCAGCATTTTTTTCCAAGAGGTTTGGGGTGTTTTGTTGTTGTTTTGGTTTTTGTCTTTTTTCCTTTTTCTTCTAAGCTTATCTTGATTCTGCTCAAGTAAAAAATGCACCCCTTCATTCTTAAAGTGAAAGAAACAAGACAGAATTCAGAAGCTGTCTTCACTTCATTGCTGGTCTCACCACTCAAACTGCTGTCAAGTCTACCAACTAAATTGGTATTTTATGCTGTTCAGCCCCATTGCCTACTAACATCTGGCTGGTGCTCCACTCACATAAATTCCAGCTAACTACTTGCAGATGAAGAAACCTCTTTCCATCCAAGGAAAATTTTAGAAAGCTCAGTGGAATCTACTGCCAACCACATCGTGTTTTTCAGACTGTGGAAACCTTGCCTATTTAGTTTTATTTCAAAAGTTAACTAGAATGTTTATAATAAGTAATGACATTTTAATTATGCACAGTGTAACAAAGAGGAGCATTCACAATCAAACACCCAGTTTAAATCATCAGATGCTACTTCAAGAACCTGGCTCCAAACTTGCGGGCACACCTTAACACATGCTACAGCACAGGCACATGCTCTCTCAGGTTCAGCTTTGTACGTGGATGGAACTCGGACCCACATGCACATTACATGCACCCGTTCAAGTCAAGTAGAAGAGCCAATATCCAATTTACATGCAAAAATTAGGTTTCCAGATACAAAAAGGCAGACATAAGAAACAGCATGCTAAGTTTGGATGCACAAATTTTAACCAAGTTTCAGTCACCGAGCAAATCTTCAACACAGCAGTACCACATACTAATAGCAAATAAATATAAATTAGTAAAATATGTGAAGGTATTCCAAGGGTACCATCTTCAATGAAAAGGATGAACTTTTTATTTTTTCTTTTTCCCATTTATTGCAACATAATGGTTAAATAATTGTTATAAACCAAAACAAATGAGCAACTGACTCAAGATATTTAAAATTTAAATCCAAATTACACAAACCTGCATTTTGTAACAAGTGTTGATAAACGGGATACTAATATAAAAAGTTTTTTTTTAATTATGCTTTAACAATCCATTATTTTTCAAATAGCATGGCTGTTTAAAGCCACTGCTAAGAAGTTCAGGAATATATCACATTCTAATGAGCTACTAATGGGAAGAGGGGGCAGAAAATGGAAGGTAACACATTCACTTACATAACAATAAACAAACTCCCTAACTGAAACGAGTAAAATAGTTTTAGCCCAAATATTCATTCCACTGCCTTTTCTTTCTTCTTTTTTTTTCTTTTCCAACTGGAACATATTGGTCTATTTTGCAGATGACGCTTTATTATCTTTTTCAGCATATACTGCAAGGTCAGAGACTCTTTAAAATACAGCTGCTTAAAATGGAACTCTGATTCAACCATACCAGCACAAAGACCTCTACTATCATTAAAGAAAAACCCAGACGTACATAGCATACAAATTCAACACATATTGTACAGCCATAGCAGAAAACCCTTTTAACATTCAATGTCCAGTTTAACAACCACTGCACGTTTCCATTACTATTGATCACACTTGCAAAATTCATTAAAACTAGTCCCATTTAAGTCCGGCACTTACCACTACCTAGTCTTAGAAGCAGTACATCCTGGAGTCTCCTGTTCAAGTCTCTGAGCTCTTTCATTTCTGACACGAGTGCCCCATACTCCTTTAGCTTCTTTGCCTGTTGCACAAGCTGTCTCCGTGTTCTCTCAAGCTCCTGTTGAATGTGTCTCATTTCTTCTTGTTGCTGTTGGTAACTCCTCAGCAATTCTTCATACAGAATCCGAGGAACTACAGCATCGTCCATGTTGTTCATGCTTTCTGAAGTCTCCATAAAAGCCTCCTCAGGGCTGGAAGTATTACTGAGGCTCATCCCATTCTGTTTTTCAAGGCGAGCAACAACTGCTTCAATGCTTTTGTGTGTACCTTCACTTTGTTTCCTCCCATCTTGTCTCTGCATGTTACAATAAAAAAATAAATGAATTAGGAGAGCAGTAAGACGTAATACAAATTGGGAACTATTAATATTCCTGTTTTCCAAAAAAAGCAAGACAAAGTCTGCCTGCAAAAACGCCTAACAGATTCTTGTGGATATACATCATAACTATCATGCACGCGTAACTCAGCTAAATGCGTATACAAACTTCTGAGGCAGTTAAAGGCCTGTCTTTCTGCATTTGGGCAACACATGCAAGCTGAGTGTATATAAGTCATTTGATTCCATATACAAAGATAATTAATTTCTTTTTTAAAAGAATGTGGATCTCTCTTCCTTTAAAGCTTACCCCTAACGTTTATATTTCCGACAGCAATTCATTTACTGGTAAGTAAGAGACAGAATCAGCTGTGTGCTACATTTGGCACCTGTAATGACATCAGAGATGAAAGTGGCACCCATACAAAGCTGTTTTGTGAACAGAGGGCTTGTCCTTCCCACACTTTGGGAGACAAAACCTTCTCTGACTATTCCTCTACCACATTCACCCAACTGCCTGATGCAAGAGACTGAGTTAACAGTATCAGCAAACACTGAAAGGGAATTGAAAACACAGAAGTTGGAGACAGAATATATCATCCAATCTCATCTTCCTGATCAGCTCATTCCTTCTATATTAGTACTGCATTGCAGAGGCTTCATCTCCTTTGAACTCAGCAGAAATTTAACTTCAGACATCTGCACAATCCCTATCCATTAAAGCCCACCTCTTTTCTGGGGCCTGGATAGTGGCATTAAAATGTGATAGTACAGGTAAAAGTCACCAAGTTTCATTGGCCAAATATGGAAAAAGCATTTGAACTTCCAAGCAACTGCAAGGAAAGCAAATATAGCTCATAGGTTAGAGACAAGAAGCTGACACTATCAATTCCCATACCACAATATCTATGAGTAATGTGGCAGAAAATGAGATTATTTGATGTTACGCCTGCTCCACGCATGTTCTTTAAAAAAAAAAAAATCTGGCCCACCATAAAGAAATGTACTAGTATCATTCCTGCAGCTGCAAAACACATGAAGCCACAGAGCAGTATTTTATTCTGAAGGTTGGCAGACTTTTAAAGAAATCATTTGATATCAAAAAATAAATACATTTACATAGTGGGTTTCTGGCATCTGGACCTAAAAATGCAACTGGCAATTATAATGGAAGGATGCAGTCCTGTCAATTTGTCTTCTCAACCACTGCTGTAGTTGGGAAGTCTCAGAGCACCCCTTCCAATTCCAAACAAGCAGCGTGCAATAAGTCACAAGTGCCACTGAGAACAGCTGCTCAACATTCATGTAACTGGTGACTTTTAAAGCATTCTGGGCCAAAGTGGAAGAGCATTGTTCCAAAAAATCTCAAACAGCAATTAAACTGTGCAGATGGAATAAACAGGAAAATGTTCGATTGCACATAAATCAGGTTTTGAAAACCCATACCCCATAGATGCCATGGAAAGAGTATATAAACATTACAGAAATTCAGTAATAATTTTCTGGTTCTGCATTCCGAGCTTCCTGGTCTCTGACAACAGCTATACAAATACTACTACCAAGGGCAGAACAAAAGAAGAAAAAAAAAAAAAAAAGGGAAAAAAAAAAAGGGAAAAAAAAAAAAAAAAAAAAAGGAAAGACTTCAGTACCTTACTGTGTCTAAGCTCCACATCTTCTTCCCCATAATCTGTAACCTCCCCAGCTTCTTCTACGTGATTGAGAGAGAGTTTGGGGATTTTAATTTTCTTCTGCATCACACTGTTCTCAAGGTCAGTTTTGTCCTCTAAAATGTATATTAAAAATAAAATTTTGTTACATTAATCAGTGTTCTTACTTCCAAACACTACATGATTTAGGCAAGACCAGTTAAAAAAAAAAATCTCCCATGCTTCAATCCCCTCATAATACTATGATCAAATTAATCCATGGTGTAACTCAACTGATGCTCACTGACAATTCTAGAGTTTCAACAGGGGATCAATCTGGCCAAACACAAGAATAAATACTGTAAAATGCCAAGCTAAATTCATGTGAGTGATCAAAAGCGTCAATGAGTAGCTAAAATAAGAGTTAGGGATGCTGTAAATAAAACAACTTCCTAAAAACAATCTGTATTGCTTTAAATTACATTTACAAACAGTATTTTCATACTCATAATCTCTTGCTGCAGTTCAAACCCTGCTCAGGTTTGAAGTGAAAATAAATTTAGTAATTCCTTCTAGACTTCAACCATCATCTGCCAGCAGTACAGATCTATTTGCACAGACGGCAGATTCTGCTGTTCTGCAAAGTGCAGGGCTGGAAAAGGTGATGCTGCAGGACAGGTTGAAAGGGCATTAATGAAAAGTTGCCTATGGACCAAATCTCTTAACAAGATTACTACACAACCCCTATTTCATTAGTTAATGGTACTAATCCTTTTCCTTTAGATACACAAAGACAATAAATTGTTATATTAGTCTTTGAATCTCATAAAAAATTGATGTAAAATATTTTCAAGTCTGAAACATTCAAACATAGCTCAAAATTAAGTATTTCAAAACATTATTCTGCAAATACGTTTGAAATATTTTAATGTTCCTGAAGAGGTGCAGAGGGGACAGCGAATCAAGAGTATAGTCTCCCCAAATGTGCCTGTGACGTGTAAAATTCTTGAAGAGCAGACAAGGTCTTTAAAGATTCACAGGCTTGGCTACCTGTTCAAGACACTGACAAGGAGAAATGCATTTAAACTCTGAAGCATTATCTTTGTACATTGAAAGCTTATGATTAAGAAACATTGAGTCTTCTTATGCACCTGCAACCTGTATTTCACAAGTGTCCCATGAATATTTTTGAAAGTGCCAATGAGGATGGCATTTGTGAGTGCTTAGTTGCATTGACTTTTGCTTTCTCAAATTAGCATCTCTCCACAGGACCTCAAAATGGTTAGTGTTGACAGTGTAGAAAAGGGAAACAAAGGTAAATCACTGTTTAATGAGGAGCAAGGCATTCATTAGAAATGAATTACACAGATGAATGCAATTCATTTTGTTACAGATAGAAATGGATCTCTTGTAGGCAAATGGTGATATTACAGCCCAAGGCTATGTAAAGAGAATAGGCACAGAACATGCAGAATAAGACATTAGACAACCTGAAATGAAATGCAGATGGTAGCAATAAATACTAAGACAGATGCAAAAAGAAACAGATAAACAACAAAAAACAGCTAGGCTTATTTTAGATCATTCTCCACTCCCCAGAGCATCACGGATGCTTATCCCAGTAAAACAAAAAGGCAATCCAACTGTTTCCATTTTGAAAGACAAACCCCTACGTTTTCATTTATCTGGAAAACATAGGTTCATCAGAAAAGTGAGATAACCCGAGTCTACTGTCAGAGACCAGAGAAGAAAATAAGAGGGCCCTTCTTAGAAAAAAATACGAATTTACATTCTGACAGACAGACTGATGGGTATTGGTATCTTCTTGGAAAGACAGAGATTTAAGAATAAATAAAACGATACTGGATGAAAAAAAACTACCAAACAATTTTTTCTGTAACTATGTATTTTGGGGTATCTGTAGATTGAGGAATCCTTTGCTAAAATATAATCCCACAATTCTTGAGAGGAAGAGCAGCACAGGCATCCTGCAGCGCCAGCTTCTCTAGACTGCTTTGCCAAATCATCTTCCACAGAACGTGCAGATGAACTCCTACATTTGAAGAATGCAGTTCAGTTTCTACGCTCCAAAACAACCCTTGGCCTCACAACGAGATGGACACAATCCAATTACTTCACATAGTTAAAAAATTGTCTGCTGGCAACTAGCCGAGGTCACCAGTAGCCAGAACCTCAGGCAAACTGGAAATGGACACCAGCAATCCTTCCCATGGCCAGGGAAAAGCAAGTCTTGAAACGCTCAAGCAAAGGGGTCACAGAGGAGTAAGTGCAGTTGCAGACTACAATGGAAGTCAGCAAATACTTTCCAATGAATAAAACAACATTAAAATAAAAACGATTTGGAAGAGCAGAAATAGTTATCTTTTGATTTTGGCTTTTTAAGTCAATTTATAAAGGTTATGAACACAGGTTATGCACTGAACAACAGAAATTAAAGAAAATGCTTAGTTTGGGGTCAAATAAAACAATGCAAATTATCTGAATTCTTCATTCCTCCATTCCCCTCCCTATTTCTCAGTTTGTCTATGAAATCTATGTTTGCAAAACTTTACTGGTGACCTGAAGATAAAATTTTATTTATATACCTCCTTACAAATGTTTAGTTTGTACATTATTGGTGTGTAACTATCAAGACGCTTCTCTTTCATGTTTGGCAAATCCTTTCACTTGACTTTTTGATTTTACTGCTTAGCCTGTAAATGAATAAGTTGAAGAAAGGAACTCTCTTCTCCCCATACAAAATTTGAAGAAACAATGGTGAAAATGACTTCATCTAAGTAAAGCTCTGGCATTTTTAATTTAGTCAATGAGCAAATAATTCTATGTTCCTCTGCCTTCCAACAACAATACATACAATATTTTCTTACATATGCTCTGGTCTTTGTAGGCCTATTTATACCTAACACAATTCATCTAGTGTGTTGGATATGAAAAGGCCTTTTGTTTTTCTTTTTTTTTTTAAAGTGCATTTCTAACCTCTGTTGTCTTCTACATTAGCTGCAGACAGAGCCAGAAAAATCTCATTCTGGATTTGTGGCTAATGCTGGAGTACTGGCTCTTGTTCTGTAAATATTAATGCAATTTGAGAAGGGGCGGTGGGAGCGAGAGGAGACCAGGGGGAGGGGTAGGAGAAACACACACATGTATTTAGAGCAGCTCTTCTTAGGACTTTGCATCTGTTGTTGTGCCAGCCTACAAAAGGCAGGTACAAAAGAAGAATCCAGCAAAAAGCAAAACATGCATGATTTTGAGCCAGAAGAAAACCAGGATATGAACCAAACAGCTGATCAAACTGCAATGCAGTGCCTGAAGCTACAGAACATGCGAAGAGAGAGAAGGGCAGTCCTAGAAACGCTGTAGCTCAAAGCCTCATTTTGTAATAACCCAAAGCATTTGTCTGGACTTTATCCCCAGTCATTTAAATGTTGCTACAAGTTAAAAATTATACCTTCCCTTCAGTGGCCATTATCAGATTGTCATAAAGTTGTCTCAATTGTTTTTCCCATACATGGTGTAAGTGCTTCAGTGATACCAGCTACTGAGAATTAGCACTTACCTGATTAGGTACTTGTAACAAAATATGCAGGGTATAAGCACAATACAAGAACAGACAACATTGGTGCCCTCTGCCCTTTAAGAAGGGACATTCTGGAAGACACATGTAAATTAGGAAGAATTGCTTGGGGGCACAGCAGCCATAATGCCACAACACATGGAATTCTGTGATTCAATACACAGAATAAAGCATGCTGGAATAACCATACTCCAGGGAAAGGTCAGACTTGGAGGGACCTTGCCAGTCAACTCCACAAGGCACTGAACTACAGGGCTCAAGAGCCAGCACCCATGACAGCATCTCTCCCTATACAGCCATCTACCAGAGTTCTTTGGTTAGTAAGATGAAAGTGAACTGCTAAGAAATTTCAGAGTGGCTGGGAAGGTATTTGGCCTCAGCAGTGCTGAAAGAAAAGCCAAAAAAGCAACCCTGCATTAGAGAATCAGTATCAACTAGGAAAGGATAAACTGTTCCTGGAATGTTTTCTTCAGTCGGGCCTTTGTTTCAGTGTCAGGATGGGTGGATCCAGGCCAAAAGGTAATAGCTTTAAGTCTAGAGCAGCAGGGAACAGAGGCAGACAAAGCGACTTTAAGAGGGCAGGAAGCGAGTTGGTTAAATTCAAGTAGAAATATGTTAGTGCTCTAAAACTGAAAGCCCCATCGTGGGATGTAGAATAAAACTATGGAAATCTCAAAGTCTCCTTAAAACATTCCTTACTTTCCAGTTTAGAAGTAAGGACTGAACAAACTATTCCTCTGAAAAAATAGTTCAAAAGCTGATTTTTTTCCACGGTTGGAACAAAAGCTGGAAAAACAGAGGAAGAGAGCTCTGATCTCCAAATGGATGAGGGATGGCAGGTCTGGGATCAGTCCAAATAAGGGGCTTGGCAATGCTATAAATCTTACAATAATAAAACGAGAGAACCTTGAGCAAAATTCGTCCTTCCCCTAAGCTTTCTAAAAAATTCCACCCCTTGTGAAAAATGATATACTGACAGATGAAAAAATTTACCATCACCCTGCCCATTTCCAGGCATATACCCAACACATATGGGCAACACCTGTACAAAATTCGCCCCACACTGCTGCGCTGAACTGCTTCGCTACTCATTTAGCCAGGTTGCTTCTACAGAGCAGAGAATGTCACCTGCCTCGGCAGGCAGTGCATCAGTTACAGTTCTTAAAGTAAAAGACACTTAAGAACCAAAGCAAAAAACTCACAACCAAAGGGATACTTGGTGCTTCAAAGCAAATATACACACCAAGCATGACAGGGCATGGATTTTTAAGTGCCACTTAAACACAAATAAAAAATAATCAATATTGCTGTGACTGAGAAGGAAAACAGCATGATAGCACAAAAAAAGAAAAGCCACCTAGTTTATTTGAAACTGGAAAAAAAGAATTATAAGATTACAAGTTACTTTCTTGGCTAATTTAATGCAAGCATTAAAGGACTTTAACAGGAGATTTCAGAACATGTAACAACCAGGCTCAAAGATATTCACGATACAGAGGAAGAAAAGCTTGTCTCACAAAACATCTCTCATCTAGTAGTACA